TATATATATATATATATATATATATATATATATATATATATATATATATATCTTCTGTAAATGGCACAGATTACTCTGCGCATAAAACCGATTGCTCGGTTTAGTGCCAATATCGCGCTATCAATTTTGCTGCGCCTTTTGTTCGATCTTGGCAGTCTCTTCTTTCTCAAGTTGTTCCCTCGTTAATAACGACAATCCAAGCTGGTTCTCGCGCGTAAATGGCTGTGCCATTTGTCGTAACCATCTTTTACTGATCTGAAAATTATAAATAAAAATTATTACTGGACAAATCGCAAAACTGTAATCACTAATCGCACCCGTTACCAATAAGAAATTTAAAGTTACCTGTATAGCTTCTTCGGTTGACAAATTACACAAGCTGTCGTTCAAATGTTCTTGTATCCATTTCGGTAATTTGCTTCGCTTATCTATTCTCGAAAATCTCTGCAGGCATTGGCGTAAAAAAAATTTCATTACTAAAAAATTCTGATATCTTTTCCGCTAATATCTTTACAAATACGCGCAATGGACTATTTCTAAAAAAGATTTACCTTATCCGCGAATACCATGATACCATAATCTGTTTTTCCTCTAATTGCTCGTCCTACACACTGTGCGGCGTGTCTCATAGCATCAAAAGTTAAAAAATCATTTTCTCGGATCTGAAAATACATTGCAGAAGTACATATATATGTATATATATGTGCACGCACGCGCGCGCGCACACACACACACCCCCACACACACACACACACACACACAGTTCGAATATATAGAAACGCTCTATAATAATATATAATATTGCATTATACTTACCTGAAACTGATCTCTGAGATATTCCAAACGTGCCTTCAAGATACGCGATTGCGTGTACACGTAAGGTATACCGAACATCAGCACGGCTCTGCCCAAATGATGATCGAAGTCAACACCTTCAGATACTTTTCCACGAGCCACCGAGAGTAGAACAGCTCCCCTACCATTTTCACAGGCCTTTATATAATTAATAAGAGCCAAACTGGTTTCCGCCGAATCTTGTGTTTCGATGAACAATAATTTATGCCTCTGAAGTTGATACACAACTCCTTGATCATACCTATGTTCAAAATATATATAATTAGAAATTTACAAAATTTATATCTTATTAAGTACATAATATATACCAAGCAGCCACTACAGATTCCATGTATAAATACGATGTAAAAAAGCAAACTAAGCCATCAGGCACTGTTCCAGCAAATTCGACCAATAATTGACCATAATTTCTTATAACAGCCACATCTTCTCGTGTCTCGTATTTTGATGAAATGGCTACTTGATCGTTACCTTTGGCGACAATCTGATATTGAAAAGACAAAAAACAGATAGACTTAATAAAATATTAATATTTATCTTCACAAATTCAAGTAAAAAATATTTTCTTTTTAACTTACCATAGGTAGAAGGCACGGTCTAGCTAATGTCATCGTAAATGACGACATTATAACCGGATGAAAATTTAAATTTTAGGATACATATCCAATGGAGATAATGTCCCAGAAGTAATTATTACGGATTGGAATCTATCGAATATAGGTTTGATAGCAATAGAAGAGTCTAGACAACTAAAATGTAAAATCGGATTCAACACCGTCGGCGTTTTATCGTCGAATGGTTCCACTATAATGGTGAAACCATGTGTATATGTGGAGATTAATGTTGCAAGATGCGTCACCAGAATTATTGGAGAAAAATCTGTTAGATCTGTTATCTCCATAGTACGTAAAAGAGATGCTAATCTTTGTGCGCAAAATCGCAATGGTTTCCGTTCGATAGCAACTTTTGTTTGGATATCTCTTAAAAATGCCGCAGGTGATTCCTGCACGACGTGTTGAACGCGTAAGCGGGTCTTTAAATATTCAACAAATCGTTTCAAGAAGCTAACGAAATGCTCAGCATTTCTTATATTACCTGGAACAACTTCTGCAAAGAGAAATTTTAATGAAGAAAAAATTTGTTTTCTTAAGTATCTCGTAAGAAATATATGATTGATTAGATTTTAAAATATATAATAAATGTGGTCATTTCTTCAACCTTCAAGTATTTCATTCGGTAAGATAGGATTGGCTAAAATAACATCAGTTTCTCTCTGGAATTGAGCATCTTTTAATCCTTCGACCAATCTTTCATATTCTTCCTTTAACTTATTTACATCGACTTCTCTCATTCTATATCAAAATACAATTAATAAAAATTTCTGTATTTAAATCAAGTATGATTTTGAAATACTTACTCGGCCACAGTTTTTTCTAAGAGTTGTATGTTGGCTGAACTTTTGTCCATTATCTTCCTGTTTATCTTTACACTCATAGAATCGATGCAGACATTATCTAAAATTTATAACCTTTTACTTGCATTGCAAATTATTTGGATATCAAACTGTAATATAAATTCTTATACCAATGTTATGAGCCTCATCAAATATAACTACTGAACTCTTGCTTAGCTCTTTGGATACACTCTCAGCGATCTTTGGATCCAATAAATAATGATAACTGTATACGACAATTTGTGCATGCAAGATCTAAAAGTTGAACATAGATTACATCTTTATATCTATTTTAAATATGAAATGTATGCACAAATAAAGCTTCATCAAAATTCTTACTGTAAATCTTGCGAGAAAATATGGGCACCAGTTACGTTCTTTACCATATTCTTTTAAATCATCAATGGAATAAATACCAGAAGGGATAATTTGCTCCTTGCCTTCCATATCAAATCCTTCATAAAAATTGCAAATTGGAGTAGATTCATCACAATTGTGTCTTTCTCGTACATATGATGCAGTAAGAGAGTGACACCGACCATCTACAATTTTACCTTCTCGCTCTCTACTGACCTATGAAAATGCAATTAATTTTAATATATAATATTTTGTATACAATATATTTAGTATATAATATTCAGTATACAATAAGTTTTGTGTGTGAGTGAGAGAGAGAGAGAGAGAGAGAGAGAGAGAGAGAGAG